AAAAAGCACTTCACATAATATAATTATACATGAAAAAATACATTCAATTTCATTTGGGGAAAAAAAAAGCCACATGTTATAAAACCAAAACCAAAAAAACTCCCTAATTTTCTTAAATTACCCTGTAAAGTGTTTAACAACTTCTTTGTATCTTATTAGTGCCTCAGCTCTAGTTAAGAACATTAACTGACATTATTTCAAATGTCCTGAAAATTAATAATTTCCCAGTTTTTTAAAACTAAATGCAGGGCCGGCGCCGCGGCTCACTAGGCTAATCCTCCGCCTAGCGGCGCCGGCACACCGGGTTCTAGTCCCGGTCGGGGCGCCGGATTCTGTCCCGGTTGCCCCTCTTCCAGGCCAGCCCTCTGCTGTGGCCAGGGAGTGCAGTGGAGGATGGCCCAGGTGCTTGGGCCCTGCACCCCATGGGAGACCAGGAAAAGCACCTGGCTCCTGGCTCCTGCCATCGGATCAGCGCGGTGCGCCGGCCGCAGCGCGCCGGCCGCGGCGGCCATTGGAGGGTGAACCAACGGCAAAGGAAGACCTTTCTCTCTGTCTCTCTCTCTCTCACTGTCCACTCTGACTGCCAAAACAAAAAAACAAAGCATATGGTAATTGTTTATCCCACCCTAAATGCACTTTGGACATGGTGCAGGAGTACATAAAAGCACTTTATTTTACCAGCCACAGTTTTCCTAAGTATGAAAGCGAATGTTTAATATCGATATTGGGAACTCAGAGCTTCCCTGGAGGATTAGATTTGTTTCATCCTATTTTCACTGCTAGAACAAAACATAGGATTTGACCGAGTTTAAAAAAAAAAAAAAAAAAAAAGCAGGACTTCTAGTTGACCATCAAACTTTTAACCTAATACACAAGTCCCAAGATAAGAGTTTTAGCATTCCAAATTTAACTCCAAACAAAAGCCCTTGCTTTGAGTCTACAAATGTTCCTTTCAGTTAGAAAAGTGCTAATTTGTCCAAAGCAATACAATGCATTCTCTCATTTTCTTGAAGATGACTCACTCAATAATCTCAAACATAATGACTATGTGTTTGCAACAATTCAAAACAACTGTAAAATAGCTTGTCATTTGAACTCTGAATTAATTCAGAGGCGTCAGTTACATTTTCTGAATTTATACTTTATAAAATAAAGCTGCTAAAGCCGCTAAAACTGCAATCCTATTAGGGAAAGAAAAGATTTTTTTTTTGGCAACTCTGCTTTCTTAACTGCTTCCTTCACGCTCTCCCAAGTCTCATGTAGTTAAAATTATTTTAACAGATTTAGAGCTTTCAAACTCCTAACTCCAGAAGGTTATCAACGAGAAGATAAAGTGAGTACAGTTAGTGATGGCAGACCTTGGCTTTAGCCTTACCAAACCACACAATTTTCAGAAGGTCTCATTCTTTGGAACACCCAGTGTGTGCAAGTGATCGCTATTACAGCTTTTAGAGGCATTGTAATCAAAGTGTGATTACTGCACCAGCAGCATCAGCACCACTTTGAAACTTGTTAAAAACACTAATTACCGATCACACTCTGAAGGTGGAGCCCAGCGATTGGTGCTGCTCTCAGGTGATTCTCCAGTACTCTAAAGCCTGAGAGTCACTGCTTTAGACTATTAATACAATAAGAACCCTTCCACCTTTGTATACTTTTCAAGAGTTGTTTAGGGGGCCAGTGCCGTGGCTTAGTGGGTAAAGATGCTTCCTGTAGTGCTGGCATCCCCTATGCACAGTTTTGAGACCCAGCTGCTCCACTTCCGATCCAGCTCTCTGCTATGGCCTGGGAAAACAGTGGAAGATGGCCCAAGTCCTTGGGCCCCTGCAGCCAGTTGGGAGACCTGGAAGAAGCTCCTGGCTCCTGGCTTCGGTCAGGAGCTCTGGTCACTGCAATCATTTGAGGAGTGAACCAGCAGATGGAAGACCTCTCTTTCTCTGCCTCTACCTCTCTCTCTAACTCTTTCAAATATATATATATAAAATCTTTAAAAAAAAAAAAAAGCTGGAAGGAAGAATTCTTTCTGCTCTTTCTCACTTTCAAATACAATCAATAAATCTAAAAAAATTTAAGAAAAAAGTAAATCTAGAAGTACAGACAAAATTAACATAAATATACTTTACTTTTGGATTAGGATATAAAATAACATAACAGAAAATATTAAGACAGAATTTAAGAGAAAAATGACGAAATTTAAAGGCAAACTGAGTAAATAAAGAATTGGTGATTACTGAAGAGCTCAGAGGGCTGAACATCAACCTTCTACAGTCTTGTATTCTATTCACTTTCTTTCTTCCTGGGTGAAAAATCAGACCTCAACCACCTGGAATTATTGTGTTTGTGGCTCTCATTCAATATACAAGTAACCACTGAAACCTAGAAGACCACCTTACTGTACACCTGGATCATTACAATAATTACCAAATAGGCCTCCCTGACTTACAACAGCCTCCTTCTACTCTCTATACCCTATTGGCTTCTGAGGAATCTTCCTTATCATACTGCAGCTACCTAAGGTCCTTGATTGGCCCAAATGCTTACTGAATAGAGAGAGGTACTACCTCTAGTTAGTAATCCAGAGGGTCAGACAAGCAGATAAATGAGTGAAGCATGCCACAGGAATATTAAATGGGTGGAAATACTTTTTAGTTGCCACAAAGAAACATACTCATCTTAGCCTTGTCTTTCTATTTTTACTGGAGGCACTATTATAAGAAAACTAACAGTATAGGAATGATGATAAATGGTGACTTTAATTTCCAAGAGACAAGACAATTAAAGATCTATGCCCCATTTCTCCCCTATTCCAGTCTATTTAAGTTTTTCCATGTAAGAATAAAATCCCAGTATTGCCAGAAATCTTCAATTTTTGAAGAACAATGTCTGGATTTTTATATGATATCACCCAATTTTAAAATTCTAGCTTACATTATAAAACACTATATGGTCCAAATAAAACTCATCTCTTGCCTGTGGATTGCCAGTTTAGAGCATTATATCTATATTTGATACCTCATTTTTCTAGTGTCTATTTTTTTTTTTTTTGACAGGCAGAGTGGTCAGTGAGAGAGAGAGAAAGAGAGAGAGACAGAGAGAAAGGTCTTCCTTTGCCTTTGGTTCACCCCCCAATGGCTGCTGCGGCTGGCGCGCTGTGGCCAGCGCACTGCGGCCAGCGCACTGCGCTGATCCAAAGATAGGAGCCAGGTGCTTCTCCTGGTCTCCCATGCGGGTGCAGGGACCAAGCACTTGGGCCATCCTCCACTGCCTTCCCGGGCCACAGCAAAGAACTGGACTGGAAGAGGAGCAACCGGGACAGAATCCAGCACCCCGACGGGGACTAGAACCAGGGGTGCTGGCTCCGAAGGTGGAGGATTAGCCTATTGAGCTGCGGTTCTGGCCATATTTTTCTTTTCTTTTCTTTTTTTTTTTTTTTTTTGACAGGCAGAGTGGACAGTGAGACAGACAGAGAAAGGTTTTCCTTTTTCTGTTGGTTCACCCCCCAAATGGCCGCTGCGGCTGGTGCGCTGCAGCCAGTGCACTGCGCTGATCCAAAGCCAGGAGCCAGGTACTTATCCTGGTCTCCCATGCAGGTGCAGGGCCCAAGCACTTGGGCCATCCTCCACTGCACTCCTGGGCCATAGCAGAGAGCTGGACAGGAAGAGGAGCAACCGGGACAGAATCCGGCGCCCCGACCTGGGCTAGAACCCGGGGGGCCGGTGCTGCAGGCGGAGGATTAGCCTATTGAGCCGCGGCGCCGGCCTGGCCATATTTTTCTTACAGTAGTAAAATTCCCATATTTAGGCAGCATCTCACACCCTTAAATATGTTTTCATGTCTGTTTGGTCCTCTCAACTGCAAGAGATAGTGGAGAGACTAGTGAGGACCCAACCCCAGGTCTCCTGATTCATTCTGGGCCATTTCTTTCCTTTTTTTTTTTTTTCTTTCTTTCTTCTTCTTCTTCTTCTTATTTAATTTATCCATTCATTTGAAAGGCAGAGTTACATAGAGGCAGAAGCAGAGAGAGATCTCCCATCCGCTGACACTCCCCAAATAGTTGCAACGGCTGGAACTGTGTCAATCTGAAGCCAGGAGCCTCTTAAGGGTCTCCCATGTGGGTGCAGGTGCCCAAGGACTTTGGCCATCTTCCACTGCCTCGCCAGGCTATAGCAGAGAGCCGATCAGAAGTGGAGCAGCCGAGACTCAAACCGGCGCCAAATGGGATGCTGGCAATGCAGGGAGAGGCCTTACCCACTAAGCTACAGTTTCAGATTCTGGGCCATTTCACTCTCTCCTGCTCTTACTCACATATTTAGAAAAATTTCTTTCTGTCAATTAGAATCTTGTAATTTTTCAAGACTCAGATCTACTGTCTACATAAAATCTTCATCAAATTCTCAAATTTTCTTTCCTTTTTCTGAACCTCATGATATTATGGATAGTCTAATAACTGGCAATTCCCAACAGTCTTGGATAATCAAATTATTTCCAATCACTCCATATCAGCTTATATCCCCAATTAAATGTTAAGCTCTTGGATGATGGGGACATGTCATTCTTCTTTCCAGTTCCACATAGTTCCTGATACTGTGTTGGGATATAAAAATGACCGTTTGTTGGCGCCGTAGCTCACTAGGCTAATCCTCCGCCTTGCGGCGCTGGCACACCGGATTCTGTCCCGGTTGCCCCTCTTCCAGGCCAGCTCTCTGCTGTGGCCAGGGAGTGCAGTGGAGGATGGCCCAAGTACTTGGGCCCTGCACCCCATGGGAGACCAGGATAAGTACCTGGCTCCTGCCATCGGATCAGCACGGTGCGATGCGCTGGCCACAGCGTGCCGGCTGCGGCGGCCATTGGAGGGTGAACCAACGGCAAAGGAAGACCCTTCTGTCTCTCTCTCTCTCTCTCTCTCTGTCCACTCTGCCTGTCAAAAAAAAAAGAAGACTGTTTAACATTGGCTATGTTAGAGAAGCTTTGAGGAGGAGAGTTATGATGATACCACTCACCAGCCTGATGTTGTCTTCCGGGCGGAGTAATATGAACATTGCTTGGAGATGCTGCTGGAGATCGCCTGGCAAAATTTACACACCAAAGATAATTATTCTTCATTTTAGTGTCAACTGAGAGGATTCCTCCTACCCTAGTGACTTGTAAGAGGAAACTGCTTCACTGAAGGACTCTAGTTACACACAGAAAATACAATGACTAACTTCACTTTAAATGGAAAGAAAATGACAAACCATATTTCTGTACATTCACTGTTAGCATGTACTACATTATAGTTTGTATCTGTCCTGTGGAAGGCTCACTTGGGACCAATTTCAGTTGTATGATGGCTGATGTTGATGTTGATCTGTTGGACAGAGACACAATCCAAGTCTCATACACAAGAAACAGTGTGAGTTCCCAGATACAAACCAAGATAAATAGAAACATGCACCGACACACATACTTGTACGTAAACGGAGGCAGGTGTTTCGTGCAGGGGTTAAGGTGGCATTTGGGACACCTGTGTTTGAGTCCCAGCCTTGCTCTTAATTCTAACTTCCTGTTAATGTGCACCCTGAAAGGCAGCATGTGATGGCTCATCAACTGGGTCCCCACTACCCATGAGGGAGATCTGGATTGAGTTGAGTTCTGGGTTCATGCATTTGGCCTGCTCCAGCTTTGGCTGCTGCAGGGATTTGGGGATTGACCCAGTCAATGAGAGTTGTCTCCTCCCCTCCCTCTCTGCCTCTGAAATAAATAATTTTTTAAAAACTAGTAAACAAATATTAATACAGAATTAATAGTCAAGAAGTGGGGGCCAGCATTGTAGCGCAGTGGGGTTAATCCTCCGCCTGCAACGCAGGCATCCCATGTGGGTGCCAGTTTGAGACCCAGCTGCTCCACTTCCAATCCAGCTCTCCGCTATGGCCTGGGACAGCAGTAGAAGATGGCCCAAGTCCTTGGACCCCTGCACCCGTGTGGCAGACCGGGAGGAAGCGCCTGGCTCCTGGCTTCAGATCGGCGCAGTTCTGGCCATTGCGGCCATTTGGAGAGTGAACCAACGGAAAGAAGACCTTTCTCTCTGTCTCTCCCTCTCACTGCTGGTAACTCTAAGTCTCCAATAAAAAAAATAAGATCTTAAAAAAAAATAGTCAAAAAGTGGAAACCATTCAGTGTTTATCAACTAATAAGTAGACAAATAAAATGTGATATATCCATATAATACAACATTATTTGGCCATAAAAAGGAATGTAGTGATATATACTATAATATAGATGACTCATGAAAACATTTTAAGTGAAAAAAGCTTGCCTCAAAAATTCACTGATAAGACCCCATTTATCTGGAGTGTCCAGGGCAGGCAAATCCATAGAAACAGAAAGACTAGCAGTTCCTTAGGGCTGGGGAGGAGGATGAGGGAAAGAGCAGTAACTGCTAATGGGTATTAGGTTTCTTTTGGGGATGATGAAAACAGTCTACAATTAGTTTGTGGCAATGTCTGCACATCTCAGAATATACTAAAAACAAATGAATGTACACTGTAAATAAAATGAGTAAACTGTGATACATGAATTATATCAGTGAAGCTGTTGAAAAATAAAACAAATGTGGGGAGACAAAAAGCTATAAAAAATGAAAAGTTTTTAGTTACAAGTTAGAAATGAGTTAAGCCGCTGGGGGCTTTTTAAAAACTACGCTTCCTTCTGTCATACCAGGATAGACAACCTGAAGAAACGATTTTCAGGATGGAGAACTTCTAGAGAAGAACCCCAAACAGTAGCACAAAGTCCCCACTCCAAGTACTTTTGGTCCAAAAATCCAGCTGGTGAATTCAAAGGTCAAGACAAGAGTCAGCAAGTCCCACTCCCACCGTCAGACTGGGTCTCGGCAGCTCAGCTTTGTTAGCTGTGGAAAGTACTGCTACGAGCAGACCGGCTATCATTTCCTACTGGGAAGTGTTCTTCACAGAGACAAGAGAGGCATCACACCAGTACAGTGAAGATCTCTCTCCTACATTTTCCATACATTTCACTATGAATAGCTACATTTCAGACTTCAGTTTGATTGTAAATACTTTTCATGATCTCCCTTTAAAATAATTAACTCATAAAATCATACTTTGAAAAATAGCATTGGATATTTTAAACGCAGCTTAGATAAAAAAAATTCTAATCAGTTCAAGAAAAATGTTTTGAGAAAGAAAAATTAAACATAGCAAGCCTTGATCCACTGTCAATTCTGCCATTCATTTGCAGTTACTGTGAGCCTAGCCAAGGCAGCTTCAGTTTGTGTGAAAGTCTGGCTTTTCAGGACTGCATTTACGCTCATACTGCCTCATCTGTTCCGGCCTAGATAACAAATCAAGCCCATGTAGCTTGTGCTAAATCTGCTTTCCTTTGTAGTATGAGGAAAGCCAAGTGAACAATGCTAAGCAGAAATCTGGAAGGAAGCTGAATGTGGAAATTTAACCAAAGATAAAGTTCAGCTAGAGGGGTAGGTGCTGTGGTGTAGTGGGTTAAGCCTCTGCCTGTAGCACCAGCATCCCATATGAGTGCCAGTTGAAGTCCTGGCTGCTCCACTTCTGATTCAGCTCCCTGTTAAGGCCTGGGAAAGCAGTGGAAGATGGCCCAAGTGCTTGGGACCCTGTACCCACATGAGGGACCTGGATGAAGATCCTGGCTCCTGGCTTCTGCCTGTCCCAACCCCAGCCATTTTGGCCATTTGGGGAATAAACCAGCAGATGGAAGATCTGTCTCTGTCTCTGTCTCTCTCTGTAAAACTCTGCCTTTTGGGGACGGCACTGTGATGTAGTAGGCTAAGCCTCTGACTGAGGTGCCGGCATCCTATATGGGCACCGGTTCATGTCCTGGCTGCTCCACTTCTGATCCAGCTTTTGCTATGGCCTGAGAGAGTAGTAGAAGATAGCTCAGGTGCTTGGGCCTCTGCACCCACATGGGAGACCTGGAGGAAGCTCCTGACTCCTGGCTTTGGATTCACTCAACTCTAGCCATTGTGGCCATTTGGGGAGTGAACCAGCAGATGGAAAACCTTTCTCCTTGTCTCTCCCTCTCTCTGTCTATAATTCTACCTCTCAAATAAATAAATAAACCTTTTTTTAAAAAAAAAAACTCTGCCTTTCAAACAAATAAAATAAACATTTAAAAAATGCAATCTAAGCTAACTTTAAAAAGTTTTTTTTAAATTCCCCTTACTCATTTTTTTTTTAATTTAAATATTTTTATTTCAAAGGCAGAGTTATAAGGAGAGGGAGAGACACACCAAGAGATAGAGAGTGGCAGAGAGAGACAGACAGAGAGAGAGAAGATAGAGATAGAGATAGAGAGAGAGAGAGAGAGAGAGAGAGAGATCAATTGATCTCCCATCTGATGGTTCACTACCTAGATGGCCCCAGTAGCCAGGACTGGGCTAGACTGAAGCCAGGAGCCAGGAGTTTCATCTGGTTCTCCCATGTGGGTGGCAGGGGCCTCAATACTTGGGCTATCTTCTGCTGCTCTTCCCAGGCCATTAGCTGGGAGCTAGAATGTAAGTGGAGCAGCCAGGACACAAAGCAGCACCCATAGGGGTACCAGTGTTGCAAGTGGTGGCTTTACCTGTTACACCACAATGCCATGCCCCTCCCTCAACCCTTAAATTTTTTTTCACTGTTGGGCAGTTTTGGTAGAAGGATAATACTGTTCAACAAAATGGATTATAATTCTGAGCTCCCACATTTACAACTGGATGAAGGTCTTAACAAGTATGACTGCCACTAGACTAGTGAGATTATTTTGATCAGAGCTAAATTCAACTACTAGCTCAGTGGGATCCAGTATTTCTGGCTTTTACCTCTGACCTATACAATCAAGGTTTGCAGTCTTCTCTGTTCCCTTCCTAGTAATTGCAATTTCTTCTTCTTCTTTTAAAGATTTACTTACTTGTTTGAAAAGCAGAGTTACAGAGAGAGAGGGAAAGGCAGAGACAGAGATCTTCTATCCATTGGTTCACTCTCCCCAGTGGCCAGGGCTGGGCCAGGCCAAATCCTGGAGCCAGGAGCTTCTTCCAGGTTTCCCATGTGGGTAGCAGGGGCCCAAGCACGTGGGCCATCTGCTGCCTTTCCCAGGCCATTAGTGGAGAAGTGGATCAGAAATGGAGCAGTCAAGGACATGAACTGGCGCCCATATGGGATGCTGGCATCGCACATGCTTGCTTTACCTGCTATGCCATAATGCTGGCCCCTTCAACTTCTTCTACTCCTGGAGGTCACAAGTCATCAAAGTGGCATATTTATGGCCGGCACCGCAGCTCACTAGGCTAATCCTCCGCCTTGCGGCGCTGGCACACCGGGGTTCTAGTCCCGGTCGGGGCGCCGGATTCTGTCCTGGTTGCCCCTCTTCCAGGCCAGCTCTCTGCTGTGGCCAGGGAGTGCAGTGGAGGATGGCTCAAGTACTTGGGCCCTGCACCCCATGGGAGACCAGGAGAAGCACCTGGCTCCTGCCATCGGATCAGCGCGGTGCGCCAGCTGCAGTGCGCCGGCCGCAGCAGCCATTGGAGGGTGAACCAATGGCAAAGGAAGACCTTTCTCTCTGTCTCTCTCCCTCACTGTCCACTCTGCCTGTCCAAAAAAAAAAAAAAAAAAAAAAAAAAAAAAAAGTGGCATATTTATGAAAACAGGCAATCATTTCTATATAATGCAGCTCAGGATTATTGTTCTCAGGTTGACTTTGATTTTTCCTTCAAAATGACATAAATCAGGCTTCCTGGTTGAAGAGAAGCATGAGGCTAATTATCTTCCTGAGCTGTGGATATCAAACACTGAGAGAATTCTCTCCTTAGGACACTTTCCAGGTTTCTCACTTTTTTTTTTCATCCCATTACCACCAGTGAATCTGACTTTAGGAAAATATAATTAATATACTACTGTTTGGGTATTTCAAAACCAATCTTAGACTCATTCCCGGGTGAACTTTTATTCAATGTCTCCTTATTTATAAAAGTCACCAGGGTTAAATTTCTAATCTTTTTAGTGTGTACACATTCAAAAAGCATTTAAGCATTCAGCTTTTAAGAACTTGTATCTTAATATGTGATATAATAATTCCTGTTATATGGCAATGACAGTGAATTTACTTTATTTATGTTACTAATATACTATATCATGCTCCTTGGAATATTACTAGAGAACAGATAGAAATAAGAAATTTAATCCTTGGTTAGTTCAAAGGACTTTTTCACAGGATCTAAGAAAACATCTGAATGTCTTTTAGTTATTAAAGCCTTAGTTAAGAAGCTACATATTATTTTATTAGAGTATTTAAAAATTAAAAAAATTTAAAATTATTTTCATTTTATTTGAAAGAGACAGATGAGGAGATCGTCCATCTGCTGATTCACTCTCCAAATGCAGAAAACATCCAGGGCTGGGCCAAGCCAAAGCCAGGAAAGTGGAACTCACTCTGGGTCTCCTACCTGGGTGGCAGGGATCCAAACACTGAGATATCACCTGCTCTCTCTTGGGGTATACATTATAGGAAGCTGGAATCTGAAGCAGATCCAAGTACTCTGCTGTCTTAGCCACTATACCAAAGTCCACCTCTCAGTATTTTTGTTCCTTATCACTATTCTAACAAAACTTATTTTATTGAACACTTGCTATATATTTAAGGCTCACTATATATGTATCTGTAACGATCTGTGAGAACACAAAATGGTCTGTGAGAACGAAGGAAACATGAGCATATCACAGTACAGTGCTTTCTTTCACTAAACAACTGTTGGAGAAATGGGGGTGAGGTGGTCAGCCTTTCAGGACAAAAGGCAGATAATCAAGAAAGGAATGGTGTGTATGTTGCTTTACCTGCATGCTTGTTGCGTCTGTGGCTGATTCTTGGTGTGGATGAGCCATTTCCCCGTGGCAGAAAAAGAGCAGCACCTTTGACAGTTAGAAAGCTCTCGCTGATGCTACAAGGGAAAAAAAAATTGAACAAAAAGAAATTACTTAAGGAGGGGAATCAAGAGATTAGAATGGAGATTCATTTTAGGACTTATTCTTTCTTCCCTATTACTAAATTCCAACTTCATGGGATGAAGTAAAAACAAAATCATGAAAGACCCTGGTTACTTATAGAGTGCTGTTTATACCAGACAATTTATCTGTGACAAAACTTACAATTGTCTGTATACATCACATGGTAGCAGGTAAAAGAGTGAAGTTCCTGGGGACAAACCAAAAAACAGATAAATAATCTGAGTTTGAATCCTGACTCTGCTACCTCCTGAGCGAACTTTTTGGGCCTAAATGTTCTTATCTGTAAACAGTGATAATAAAATGAGGTTGTTATGAGGAGTTAATGAGATTATAACTTCTTTATATTTTATTTATTTTAATTTTACTTGAAAGAGAAAGAGAGAAGAGAGGGTGGGAGGCAGAGGCAGACAAAGAGATCCTTCATCTGCCGGTTCACTCAGGAAATGCTTGCGCGGTTAGGGCTGGGCCAGGCCAAAGCAAGGTGCCTAGCACTCAATCTGGGTCTTCCACATGGCTCGCAGGGATCCAACAACTTGAGCCATCATTTTCCACCTCCCAAGATGCACATTAGCAGGAAGCTGGATGGGAATTGGAGGAGCCAGGCTTCAAATCAGGCACTCTAATATGGGATGAGTATCCCAAATGGTGATGTAACTGCTTCACAAATGCCTACCCTGAAAATATAGTTCTGTAAACTGGTACCTGGAATAGTAATAAGCCCTTAATAAATATCAGTTATTAATAGTATATCTATGGTTACCAATGGTGGTATTTCAAAAGTGTACTAATTAGATATGAAGTGTTTCAATACTTAATTACTAATAATAGATCCCAAAGTCTGCAAAAAAGATTTATATTCAAAAAATCACACACTAAACATTGGCTAAAAATTTTATTCTCAACACCTTGCATCCCCAGATGCAATCCAAAGGGGTAGTTCCCAGGAAGTGTGCTGAACCCACTGGAGTTTGTCCTACATTTAAACATCATTATTCATGTGGTGACAACACAGTGGGGAAACTACTGCTCCAAACAGGGCTATTCAAATTACAAATGTTTCCAAAGAAAACAAAAATATGTTTAAATTACTTCATATTAACAGACTAACAAGCCTACAGTATTTGAAAAGGGTAGAAGCTACTAATGGCAGAGTTTATAAACACATATGGAAGGTTCCAAGTTTGTTTATGAGAATGGTACTGCCACTGTATTGTGACACTGCTGACTGAATATTTCCACTCAGAAATCTAACTGGCATCTTAAATTTATAGTGTCAAAACTGAATTTCTGAGCCCTATCTCTTTGGACTCTTTCTATTCTCCTCTCTATCCCCTGCCAACCGACCTCCATCTTTACACATTCAGTTGTTTGGGGGCAAACACTCAGCAGTCATTCTTGGTTTCTATCTTTCCTCCCTGCAATATATATCAAATTTACCAGCAAGCTTTACAAGCTTTTTATAAAAAAAAAATCTTTCATTATAGAAAATTTCAAATATATAAAAAAGGAGCTTTAATTCACGACCAATTTTGTTTCTTCTATATCCTTATCCCTTTTACCTTGCCTCCTAAGTGAAACAAATACCAGACATTATAATAGCAAGAGCCTCTTAACAGATCTGTCTGCAACCACTTCTCCCCCCTTATTATCCACTCACCAAATACCAACCAGAGAGACTTTGAAATATACGTATATAGATCAAATAAGGCCACTTCCCTAAAGCCCTCCACGGGCTTCCCTTTATCTTACACATCCCCTCTCTGCTTATGCGTTCTGGTAGCACGGTGGCCCTCCTTCCTGTCTTAGTGTTTCAGACCCCCTCTAAGGGCCTTTGTGCCTTTTGTTCCCTACTTGGAACACTTTTCTCCTGGCCTGTCACTATTTACATTCTCAGCCCTAGTATCAGCCTCCTTCCCTCCATCCCAGGCATACTCTATCCTGCTGTTTTGTTTCCTTCAGGATATTTATCATAAACAAAAATAAATGTATTCACTTGTATACCTGATCAGAGCTACTGCCACATTGTAGAAGACAGGCTCCATGAGAACAAGGACTTTGTTTTGTTCCTCACTGTATCCTTAGCAATAGAAACAGTGCCAGGCTATTTTAGGTGCTTCAAAGATATGTAATGGTGAATGAATTAATCCCAGGGTTTTTTTCCACAGTTATATCTGCTGCATCACTCCAGCAGGAACTGTAAATTTAGGGCAAGTCGCACATATGAAAAACAACCATTAGAGAACTCAATACATGTGGTAGATTAGTGGACCATAAAATAAAAGAATGCTTGATGATAAAATAATTGGCAAACTTAAATCACCTCTACAATGCTGTCAATTGTTGACCCACTTTTATTCTTTAATAGAGTGGCATGAAGCTGGATAAAACCTTTGAGGTAACTTGCCAAATAGACTGGAACATGTCTACAAAAACAAAACATAAGAATTCACAGATGCCACTTAAAAATTTGCATTCTGGTTGGGAGGGGCTGTCTGGATTTTGTTTTGTTTTCATCTTCAAATAAAGCATTGCTCTCTTGTGGGCTGTTGCACAAGTCTTGTCTCTTGTTACATCTGTGGTGTGCGCATGCTACCCTGCTGTGGGTCACTCTGTTTCACTCACATTACAGGAACAAACTAAAAACAACATGTCTTAGTGACAGGATGACTGGGGTACACCACAGACAGGAAATGAGATTTACACTTCTGCCAACACAGCAACTGTCTGCTTTAGTAAATGAAAATATGTTTAAAATAAAGCCTAAATAGTCTACCTATTCAAAGGGCAAAGTAACAGCTTGGGCACTTTGGTTTCCAGTAAACAAAGTAGTTCTCTACATCTACAAAATAAATCTATTTGCTGAGAACTTAAAACAGCTGAGTTCAGTCCAGTCATTCCTTTTGTGACAGAGACAGTTTCTCTTTGACAAACATTAAGTTTAAGAACTAACTTCCTGGTTTTAGGAGTTCTGCAATGTTGTTCTTAGAACATTAGTTGCTAATGCTTGAAAGCATATATAAATATGGTTTTTGTTTTTAAGAGTTATTTATTTGGGCCGGCGCCGCGGCTCACTAGGCTAATCCTCTGCCTTGCGGCGCTGGCACACCGGGTTCTAGTCCCGGTCGGGGTGCCAGATTCTGTCCCGGTTGCCCCTCTTCCAGGCCAGCTCTCTGCTGTGGCCAGGGAGTGCAGTGGAGGATGGCCCAAGTCCTTGGGCTCTGCACCCCATGGGAGACCAGGATAAGTACCTGGCTCTTATCATCAGATCAGCGTGGTGCGCCAGCCGCAGCGCGCCGGCTGTGGCGGCCATTGGCGGGTGAACCAATGGCAAAGGAAGACCTTTCTCTCTGTCTCTCTCCCTCACTGTCCACTCTGCCTGTCAAAAAATAACTAACTAACTAAATAAAAAAATAAAGAGTTATTTATTTGGGCCGGCGCCGCGGCTCACTAGGCTAATCCTCCACCTGTGGCACTGTTACTCTGGGTTCTAGTCCCGGTCGGGGCGCCGGATTCTGTCCCGGTTGCTCCTCTTCCAGTCCAGCTCTCTGCTGTGGCCCAGGAAGGCAGTAGAGGATGGCCCAAGTGCTTGGGCTCTGCACCCGCATGGGAGACCCGGAGGAAGCACCTGGCTCCTGGCTTCGGATCAGCGCAGCGTGCTGGCCATGCCGGCCGTAGCAGCCATTAGGGGGGTGAACCAACGGAAAAAGGAAGACCTTTCTCTCTGTCTCTCTCTTTCACTAACTCTGCCTGTCAAAAAAAAAAAAAAAAAAAAAGAGTTATTTATTTGATTTACAGAGAGAGAAGGAGAGACACAGTGAGAAAGAGAGATTTTCCACCTGCTGGTTCACTCCCCAATTTGGGCCAGGCTGCCAGGGGCCAAAAGCTTCTTCTGGGTCTTCCACATGGGTGCAGGGGCCAAAGGACTTGGGCCATCCTCCACTGCTTTCCCAGGCATATCAGCAGAGAGCTGGATTGGAAGTGGAGCGGCTGGGACTTGAACCAGTACCCACATGGGATGTTGGTGCTGCAGGCTACGACTTAACCTGCTACGTCACAGCGCAGGCCCCAAAAGTGGTTTTTAAAAATGGGTTTAGTGGGGCCAGTTCTGTGGCTCATTTGGTTAATCCTCCACCTGTGGCGCCGGCATCCCATATGGGCGACGGGTTCTAGTCCCCGTTGTTCCTCTTTCAGGCTAGCTCTCTGCTGTGGCCTGGGAGGGCAGTGGAGGATGGTCCAGGTGCTCGGGCTCCTGTGCCCGCATGGGAGACGGGGGTAGGGGGGCACCTGGCTCCTGGCTTCGGATCGGCGCAGCGCCGGCCATGGCAGCCATTTGGGGAGTGAACCAAAGGAAGGAGGACCTTTCTCTCTGTCTCTCTCTCTCACTGTCTATAGCTCTACCTGGGAAAAAAAAAGTAATCAAGGAAAATACAACATATTAAAAAAATAAAAATGGATTTAGTGCTTTCATGAAGATGAGGCCAAGGGGTGGCAAACAAGGTCCCTTCTGTCAATTCAAAGATTCCCTTACTTTGGAAATTCCTGATTATAAAACACCAAGAGTCAAACTCACATACAATGTAAGGGAAAAGAGGCTTTTCAATTAAAATCATGTACCTAAACCTCAGTGAACTTTTCTGTCAGAATATGTACAGCACATCAGCTGGGCGGGGGCAGGGAGGGGACCTGCTGTTAGGTGCCATATAGGTCCCCAGAGAGTCACGGGCAGGCACACCCACTGTTGTACAACTAGCTGCCTTTATTCTGTGGCCCCAGATTATGACCAAAAAAGTGACATTCTGTGGGTCACAAGGGGACCAGGAATGAGAGTAAAGCTGGTTACAAAAAACTTCTTACCACTGAAAATAATTCAAAGCTCCGTAAATGCTATCAAAGATAGGAAGGAAGGATGGTGGCAAGAAGTGAAAACAAAATTTATAACCACAAGTTTAGATGGATCAAGTCCAACTTGACAATTAAATGCTTGATTTGCACACACAAACAAAATTACATATAAATCTAATCATATGCACTTCAGGGTAAGGTAAAGCTTAAGTTCTGTTTTGCCAGAAACATGACTTATTTGTGCACATATCAGTCTGCCTGAAACGGCAGCCCGTAGACTCAACTGACCAGTTGGTCTCTGATCAATCTGCTTTAGAAAGGCAGCTGTAAACTTTTTTCATGTTTCCTGAATTGACTAGTTCTTTGGAGTGTGGTCCAGAAACAAGAATTCTCCACTAAACTCTTTGGAGCTGTTTGTATGTTAAATATAAACCCAAAATGGCTTCAGAATCTCTATATTAAATAAGAAACAAGATAAAGAGAATACTACTCTCTTGATCTAAAGATGGAGAATAATTAGCTGCATGATAAGAAAATGACACGTAGAGGATCACTTTTCTCACAGAAAGTGAGTGACAGTGAAGTTCTCCAGAGTCTTTATCAGAAAACTGAAGTCTATCTATTCCTCTCTGCCATAACATCACTTGCTTAACATGGGCAAAGTCAACCCTGGTTAGATATATGAAATGAGCTAATAATAGCTAACTGACCAGATGCCTACTGAATGCTAGACACTGAGCTAAGCACTTTACATGACTTCATGTCACCTGCACAACAATCCTGTGAAGTAGGTACTATTTTTGCCCCCAATTCACATGTAAAAGATTGAGGGCTTAGAGACTGTGCTAGGTTACCGGTGTTTGCCCAGGATCACACAGCTAGCAAACCTTACAGCAAGGATACAAACCAAGATCTGAGTTGAAAGCTCATGCTTGGAACCACTCTCCTACGCTGCTCTATGTTATGATACAGTTGATGGCAGATGAAACATAATATCTTCCCTACTTTTCAACAGGATAGAATTCAAAAGTAAAGCACACAGGAATGAAAGAAAAGTGGCTGAAATCCATTCAGATCTCAACTCTTCTCATCTCCTCTATCCCCACCCATCGATCAAGACTAGGAACAAAGACTATACTGAGGGGAATGAAGAACATCTGGCTGAGAGATGAATCCAGTTGGGTTGGACAGTAGAAAAAAGACCTGCAGTTTCTGCTGGGAATGATAGCAGTATTTCAGTCTCAGAAATGGAGGGAAGAACGCTCTGCTTTAAATATATTTGGGGAAGTACTCTGTGCCAACCCCTTCTGATCAAAATCACTTCCTAAAGCATGACATTTATTAACTGGCAGTTTCTTCTCAAGCCATGTAGTGGGAAAGGTCAACTAAGGGAAGAAAATACTTAACTGTTCTGTGGTTGGAATAATCTTTGAGGAATGTGCCCAGGATGATCATCCATGGCCAGCAGGAAGGTCAAGGAAGCAAAACAAAGCAAAAACACACCTGGCCAATTGCTGAATGTCAGCTGGAGAGGAATTCTACTGTTTTACATGTTCCCCTCCCCCAGTCCCGACACACACACAAGAAATGGGTCATTTCCTATGAGAAATCATTTCAGAAAGCGGATATACTTCTTTTATTTCAAAATGAAAAAGAAGTAGATTTTTCATGTAATGTTTGGTAATGCCAAACTCCTGAGTTTCTGTGGTATTCCTGCCTGAAACCACAATTTATAGGTAAATTATTATATAACACTGATGGCACATAGTATTATTGTACAAGACAAGCTGGTTGGCTTTTATATTAAATTTAAATAATGTAACATGAACTATTTTGTCCTAAGGATTATTCATCTAGTGGAAACTATGAAATACATTTCACCCTCCCCACCCCTCAACATCTTCCTTCTCCTGATAAGCTTTCTCTTTTTAGTTGTTTAATTTTCCAAGTCAAGGTGCCAAGGCAGCTTCTGTCCATCCCACTAGAGGTTCCCACTTAGTGTGACCAAAGTTTTAAGTACTAGACAAGAGATCAAGTGACTACAGAGATATTAATGCCAGGGTCTACTGAAAACTTCGGCTAAATCCAGAAAAACAGGAACAACAACAACAAAAAAATCATTGTGCCCTTATATGAAACTGTTGTCAAAGTCAAAAACACATCTCTAGACAGTGAGAAAAATTAGATTATGTAATCCTAAAGGAATTTAGATTATAACAGAAAATCCAAACCCAAAGATCATACTATTGTCTGTAAGTAAACATTCCTCACACATTGCCAAGCATCCAATAAACAGTACTGGAATGGCAAGCTGTACCTGGAACCCTCTCCCCCAGGGTGTTCCTCTCAGACACATGCCTATGAATGCAGGTGGTGAGATTATTTCTCTCCTTATCACTAGACAAGCAAAGACTGGGGCAAGCTACTAGATCAATTACTGGCAACACAAAGAGCTTAGGCCTCTAGTTCTTATTCATTAACTACAACCATCAGACCATTTTAGCTTCAGCTGTTCTTCTGCTTAAAATCTGCTGCACAGTGCCCAGCACAACTATACTAAGATGCAGCTATATGTTTTTCTCTTTTCTTGACGTTCCTGTAATTGAAGGAAAAAAAAGTCTGTCTGATCAGGCAAGGAGACAAATTCTAATCATGACTAACCTTACTAGTCTTTTTCCCTATAGACTAGAATGGGAGACAATCCCCTGCCCCATTCCTTTTGCTTTGTTCATGTTGAATACTCATTTACCAATAAAACATTTTACTCCATTTTTGCCTCATCCACGTGCAGCTTAGGAATGTTTGACATAATCAATCTGTAATCAGTAATTTTATCATTTGTCATACAATTAAATCTTCTAACTTTTATAGATAGAGCACATCTGTTTTGGCATTTGTTGTTTTGGGTTGTCAAGCGATAGATCTCTCAAAATTTTCTAGTAACACCAGAGTTTCTTTTTGGGGAATTTGCCCAAATGTGGCCTTGATGGCTTCCAACTGGAACTGCAAGGGGTTTGCAGGGAATTGGAACGTGGCCTGAGTTCTGGCCGCCTGGGAAGTCTCCTAGGACCCTGAGTCTTACACAGGTGCCTCAAAGGATCAGGGATAACGGGCATGGTCACACTCATCATGGGGAAGAATGGCAAGACATGAATGTCCTATGCCCTGGCTTTCCCTGAATGCCTCCTGGCACCTGCATGTTCTCTAAGCTTGGTCCTCCAGCCCCATTCCTTTAGGTGATCTCTGACATCCTTTTGCTTAAGACAGTTAAAATTCATTTCTGAGCTTAGAACAGAGAATCTAATGTACCACCTGAAGCCTAGAGAATTTAATGACTTAGCAGCAGAGCCAGGACTAAGCCCTCAGGTCATCTGACACCCCAGGTGGAGCTTTAATTTACCCTGTGTTAGATGTTATTACAACAAGACATTGCTGACCTAATAGTTTGAAGCAACTAGGTTAAAAACACATCTGGTCAGTTCATCTAAAGAGAACAAGGGCAGGATTTCACTGCAAAGCTTGGTGTGATGTTTGTTATATTTTTCAGAGCATCCTGAAGACAAAACAAAGCTCAGGTCTGAACAGGGAAGGATTGGGGCATAGTCCCACGTGGCAATTACGTTCAGGCCATCCTTTACAACTGATTCTTTTTCCTTTACTAAGTCTCTTTCTCTCTCTCAGATTTATTTATTTATTAGAAAGAGGGGTGGGGAGAGAGAAAGAGAGAGAGAAAATATCTTTCACCCTCCAGTTCACTATCCAAATGGCTGCAATGGCCAAAGCTAGACTGATCCGAAGCCGGAAGCTATCTCCCACTTGGGTGCGAGGGCCCAAGGGCCCAAGGACTTGTCTCTTCCACTGCTTTCCCAGGTG